GGTATTCATGGTTGGTATTTAGAATGTTGTGTAGGTGTTTGACTTATTTCGATTTCTCTCTCAAAGATCTAAAGGTGCAATCAAAATATATGTGCGCGAAACTAAATTGCATGAATAAAGGTTAATTGTAAAGACATGTAAAACTGCATAAAAGACAAGTAAATGACTTCGAAACGTAAAACAAAACAGTTAATGTAAAAGATTCGAAATGTGAAGAAAGCGTTTAATGCAAGAAAACTGTAAAATTGCTTTAAGTAAAAGAAATGTTCGAAGGGTAAAAACTTGAAGATAAAGGCATGAAATATATAACAGTTTCTGAAATGCAAAGTGTTTGAAATGGAAAGAAAGCATTTAGATGTAAAGCATTAGTGAAAAGATTTCGAATAAAAAGACTTTAGATGAGAAAACTTGTAAATGGTATTTGACATAAAGATAAGGAAAGTACTGAAAATGATAAAGGGTTTTCATTAAATCATAAACATGTGGTGTTATCATACGTACATTGCTCTTGCATTCGTTTCCCTAGCCATGTGGTAATTTGAATGTTTACTAAGTTTTTGTACAATAGATATGACACACGAAATCCTAATGCTAAGACTTCTATTTATACTACTTCGACCATAACGGTCTTGCTATAAGATTTTGCCACGTTCAGAACATGTAGAGCAATGCCTCTCTCTTGCTTCCACGTGTCTTCGAATGCTCCAGCGCATATATTTCAAATTTCGAACATCCCGCTTGCATTTGAATTTCAAATGTTTTGGCACTTCTTCGCTTCGAACGCATTTCTTAGATACAGCCTTGTTGTCATTTCGAGACTTCTTTAGATATGTTCTCATAATTGCCACTCGAAGCTCCAAGCTTTGATATGCTCATTCGAAGCATTGCTTCTACTATTTCGAAACATGACATTTTATTTCATTTTGATCGAAACGTCCAATTTACTTGGCTTCTAATAATATTATCAAAATCTTCAGCCAACAATATCATACAGCTTATTATGAGTTGCTGCCTTGTACAACTCACTATGACTAGATTAGTATTTATAGGGAGAATAATTACCCTTATTTAGATAGATGTATAGTCTATAAATACCTCTTATGTATTATTTACAATAAAAATAAAAACTTTTCATATTTCTACATATTATTTTCCGTTTAAGTAGTATCTTACGACTTTTGTTATGATCTTATGTTTTGCGATCTTGCTAACCTCTCTCGACCTTACAAAAATAATTGAGTAGGATTATCTGATCTTAGCTACAATTTTATATTTTACGATCTTACCATCCCCTCTCGATCTTATGCAAAATCCTGATTTTGACAACCTTGCTAGTTGGTAACATAAGAAATGAAACAAGTGAAGGCAATGAAGTAAGCAAAGAAAGAACCTTGTTTTGTGAAGGGGATTTATTAACCTTCAAGTACATAGCAGCTGCAAACAATGAGGAGAATATCTTATCCTATAATGCAAGTAACACAAGAAAGATTGCTATCAAGTAAGTACTAATTCATTAAAAATGACAATGAAATAGAAAGAGAAGCGAACCGAGGAAACTAGGCATGGCAAATAAATCCGCCCCCGCCGGGTCCCGGCTACTCTTGCCCCAAAATTAGCGGGGAAAACCCAGTTTAAGCGGGTGCGGGGAAAACCTGATTTTTATTTACGGGTGCGGATGCGGAGACGGGTGATGCTAGTACCCACCCTGCACTCGCACCCGCCAACTAAATTTAATTTATTTCATTTATTTTTAATAGTTTTATTACTCATTTACACTTTTAAATTTTATAATATCTAGTTTATTAGAATTTTTTATTTTTTTTTTAAATACAATTTAAATAAAAATATCAAACATAAAAATGCTTTTAAAATAATTAATTATTTAGTTTAATTATTAATTTTTATTTTTATTGAAAAAAATATAAATTTTAAAAAATTAATATTTTATTCGGGCGGATGTAGGGCGGGTGCGGGGAAACCCGTTTTTTATTAGAGGCGGGGGTGGGGGAACAAATATTATCCCCGACCGAGTTTGAGGACGGGTCTGGGTCTGGGTCTAGGTGGCGGTTGCGGGTCTGAGTCTAGGTGGCAGTTGCGGGTCTGGGTGTGCTTAAACTCGCCTCTGACCCGCCCCGTTGCCATCCCTAAGGGAAACAGACATTCTCGAGGATTTGAACTTTTCAGCATATTGAGTTCTAGACTTCCAAAATTATTGGTGATAAACACCAGCTTTTTACCCTAACAACTAAATCACATATTATTATCTACTCATAAGGGAGCATTTCATTGCAGTGGATATATATATATATATATATATATATATATATATATATATATATATATATATATATATATATATATATATATATATGAAAAATTGAAATGTTAATGATAATAATAAATAAATAAATAAATAATAATAATAATAATAATATAATTACCATCACAATCGAAGAGAAAAGCTTTGACGGAATGTAATAGATCTTTGAAATTGTGAGTTGAAAGAGACTGCGACGATCTCATCAAAGCAACAAAACTGAATGAGATTGAAAGAGTGCGGTTATAACTTCCTCTGTTCCCTTACTTTGTCCTCCCTGCTTGTTTTCTGCAGAGTAACAAAGAAACACATTTCTTTTCACCAACGAAAAAGCAAGCAAATAGACCAAAGTAACAGAACAACGCAAATATGTTTACTCACAAAAAAACGAAGAGCTATAAAGAATAATAAAGGAAAAACAAACCTATTAGTAGTGATCTCTGAAAAATGTCTATGGTTTCCAAGGCAACGTCAAATTTGCAACACAAAACAAGCTTCCTTCATATTCAACTCCATTTAGAGTAAAATAAGTATCACTAAACCTGCAATTTTATTTTACTTTCAAAATATAATACACATTTTTACAAAATAAAAATAACCCAATTCACATTCAAGTCTCTTCCTTAAATGTACCACTCTCTAAAGTTAGGAAGTTTCTCACCCAAGTTCTAAACCTAAGGTCTGCTTCAATTATCATTTTCTCATAAATTAATGTGATCTATTTGACTTTAACCACAACATGAAATCATTTCCTTTTGATTGTGTGGTGCAGATTAAACTTCTTTTAAATTTTAAGTACTCAAGACTCATTTGCTTAGTAAGAAAAGATTTTTTTAAAAACTTCTTTTAAATTTTAAGCTCCCATACTCCTTTTCTTGGTAAGAAAAAGTTTACGATAAAATGCTTTTTTCAAAACAATCATTGATGGAAGCAGGGTTTGTTGTAATTGCAAAGCTATTAAACCAATAAGTCCAAAACTTACTAGTATTGTTCTAAGCCCTAAAAAACCCCAATTTCACTGGAACACCAAGTAATCAGTGTACAATAACATAAATTCTGAACCTAAATCAAAAGTATTATCAAAATTTAAGTATAATATAAATTCAATACACAAACTAAATGGGGAAAGAAGAAAGAGGGAATTTTGCGGTTTCAACCGCAAACTAAAAATGTGGTAATTTAGTATGAACCTGCTCAAGGAGAGTGCAAGCAGCCCGACATCTTCCCAGTTGTGCCTCAATTTCACTAAGGTGTGCTTCCTTATGGGCAGCATTTTATGTCGAATGGACCTTCAACAACACCGTTGATACACAGGCTACAAACCCCACACTTAACCACTACACTATGTGTTTCAATTTGTATATTTATTAACAGTATTTAATGATATATTATATTATTACATTATTATATATAAAACAGTTTTTAATGTTTGTTATATATTTAACAGTATTATAACAACACGATTATTCTCACTCTCTATATGTTCCATGATTTTCATGCTCTTTCTTTCTTAAAGGAATAGTTAATAAACTGCAAAGAATGCCTACAAAGTCCTTTCCTGCTTCAGCAAACAAGACAAGCTTCAAGGACACGTGCTCCTCTATTTGAGTAGTAGCACTAGTAGTAGCTGCCATGGTAATTGATATTCCAGGAACAACTATAGTGTAGCTGAAAGGTTTCGACTTATATTTTGAATGTAAATTACGTTTTGAGAATTCGTATTTACAGGCGGATAATGGGATTTCGAGTGCACTTTACTCTACTTCTTTGTTGTTTCCTTTCTCTCACTCTCAAACCGTTTTCCATGGCAACAAAGACAAGTCTTTCTCAGTTTCTCACCGTCTCTCTCGCGGGTTAGAACAACAACAACTAAAATCTGTTTCGTATCATTCTTTCAGTTCTCACGGTTTATACTCCCTCTCAATCGACAACAACAACTATCTTTTTTCAAAATCACCGTCTCTCTCGTGTGATTGTTGTCGTTGTTACCACCATGGATAAGTTGGTAGTCTTTGTTTTGAGAAGAAGAACATAGAAAGCGAAAGAGAGAGATTGACAGTTGAGAAAGAGAACCGTGAATATAGAAGGCTAAGAGGAAAAGAAAGAAAGAGCATGAAAATCATGAATATCATTAAATATTGTTAATAGATATATAAATTGAAACACATAGTGCAGTGGGTTGAGTGCATGGCTTACAAGTAGAGGGGTGTAGGGTTCAAAACTCACCTAATGCATATTTTTTTTAAAAGGAGGTAAATTAAAACTCGTTAGCAAAAAATTAGGATATAATAATAGAATAATCTATATAATTTGAAGTTACTCGCGTCATGGTCCATTCTGATGTTTGCATCCTCCAATGTTTGTTGATCTGAAGCCGCCAATAATGAAAATGCAATTCCAAGGAATTTTGGTAGCAAGCAGATCAAAATCCAGCAGAAGAGATTGTTAAAAAAACAAAACAATAGAACTCAAATACAATCTAAACATCATAACCAATTAACAAGATGCAATTTGAACATAATCATCGACAACATAAGAAAATCAAAACTGAAGCAAAAACGAGAAAGAATTTTGTTGGGATATTTCATCGAACACCTTGCGAGCGAGAACAAAAACTGCATTTTTCTTCCGATGAGCGCCCGTCTAATTTAGCTTTACGATGTTGTATACTTTTAATTTTAATTCAAACGAAAATATGCAACGAAATCGAATCACAATCAAACTGTAGTAGAACCCGTAATTGAGTCAGTAAAAATACAAGAATTCCAAAAAGCAACCAGAAAACGTAAATCAAATTCTGAAATGAAACAAAAATCGATTTGAAATCGAAACAAACCTGTACCGAAAATTTGGCTCGAATGCAAAATCTGAACCGTGAAAAGCTCTGCTCGAATCCAAACTCTGCACTGAACATTTTATCCGGTTTCTTCATCGTACATGTCGTCACTGCTACCCACATTCATCGAGCTGTGCGATGTCCTTGTGTGATGAGAAGAGCGAACGGAGATGTTGAAAGAAGATAAAATAGTGGCGGAAGCGGAGGTTGTGTGTCAACAAAGCGTGGGTGTGTTGGAGGTGAGGTATTTTCCGAATAAAAGAAGCAATATTCATGGGATCGGTGATGCATATGCAGTAACGCTTTCGAATTTTGATCGAGTTTGTGCTTCTGATTCAGATTCTGCTGAGTTACTGCATATTTGGTTTGGTTTTGAATAGGTCAAAAGCAATTCTAAATAAAATAGATTCGGAATGATTTTGATATGTTTGGTTAGACAAAAATAAAATTGTTTTTATTTCTAGAATTGATTTTAAAACTAAAGTTTGTAGTTTTTGTTAGTAGAATTGATTTTGAATGATTTTTATATTAAAATTTATTGTTCAACTCATTTTTACATAAATATATTCAAATATAAATCAATTCTACTAAATTCAATTATGATAAAATCAATTCTATCGAACTTAATTCTACTAAAATCAATTTTATTCACCGCTAATCCAAATACACTTTTAATATTTTTATATCCTTTTCGTGATTTCTTCGTTTTGGGGTGATTTTGTGTCGTTGGGTTGTGTTTATGCTCATTGGTTTAATGGGAGTAATTATAATTTAATAAAATAAATTGTGGTTGGATAATGTATTTAGGATTAATATTTTGAGTTATAAAATTAAATTTTTTTAGTATATTAAATTTACATTCGTTTTTAGTTTAATGGAAATAGTAGAGATTTGATTATAATAATATTTTTAATTTACATCCGTTTTTAGAAAATATGGTGTATGTTATCATCTGATAATACTTTAAACGACACTTTATTTATAAAGTTGTCACCGTATTTCTTATTTACACCCGTTTTTAATATATCGGGTGTAAATTTAAAAAAAAAATTGTACTAATGGACCTTGAATTTACTTTTCACAGCTTTTTAAAATAATTGAATTTATATATAAATAGAATGGGAAATATGCTCGTGTGAATTTGATTGGAGTATCTTCACTGGTGGGACTGAGGATTAGAGGTTTTATTGTAGAACAGACATCTCTCAAAGCCGTTTTAAGTAAAATGGTCAAACATGAAAAAACATGTTCCGACTATCAGCACACATTCATATCATTTGCTTATGACACTTTTGGTTTTCTATCACCAGAAGAAGTTAATCTTTTTCATAAAGTCTAAAGACTTATGAATAATAATGTTCTATCTCCTAAGTCTGTGAATATAGTTTTTAAGATGATTGAATTTATCAATTTTAATTATTCAATATTTATAAAAATAAAAATAAAAAACTTATAGATAAAAAAGTTTTAACAATTTGATGTTAATCTATTGAAAAAAAAAAAGTCAAATTAATGAATGCGGAAAATATTAAATAAGTAATAGCGGTCCTTGTTATCATAGGAAATGTGACATCAGATAATTATAAACAAACATAAAAAAAAAATTAAAAATTTGATATTATACTCTTTTGGTCGTTTTTATACATTGATTAATAAAAGATATTACAAGAAAAAAGTGACTTATAATGTCTTTATGATCCGACGTATACTCTAATTTCATCGGCAATTAGAGCCACGAGAAAAAGATGACGACCTTGAAGAAAAAGATGAAAAACTACTTGAATCTCCAATCCCATACAAAATTTTACACAAACAACTTTCTATATATTCTGGTTCATATCTCACTATCGATTCGAACCTAACCCGGTTTATCTCGTAAAAATCACCATACCCTGACAACAGCTTTGAACCAATCGCACCTTTGATTTCGTCTCACAATTTCGGATCGGATACAACCCACAAAGACTGTTTCCTACTAACATCATATATCTGTTGGTTGAAGATTTTGATGATATTGTTCGAAGCGAAGCAAGTTGGATGTTTCGATTGGAATAAAGCAAGATGTCATGTTTTGAAATGGTAGAAGCAGTGCTTCGAATGGGCATGTCAAAACTCTGAGCTTCGAGTGACAGTTATGAGGATATATTCAAAGAAGTCTCGAAATGGTAACAAGGTTGTGTCCAAGAAATGAGTTCGAAACGAAGAGTGCCAAAACATTTGAAATTCAAACGCAAGCGGGATGTTCGAAATTTAAAATATATGCGCTGGAGCATTTGAAGACGCGTGGAAGCTAGAGGAGGGCATTGTTTTGCATGTTCTAAACGTGGCAGAATCTTATAGTAAGACCGTTATGGTCGAAGTAGTATAAATAGAAGTCTTAGCATTAGGATTTCGTGTGTCATATCTATTGTACAAAAATTCAGTAAACATTCAAAATACCACATGGCTAGGGAAACGAATGCACGAACAATGTACGTATGATAACACCAAGTGTTTATGATTCAATAAAACTCTTTATCATTTCCAGTCTTTTCCTTTATCTTCATGTCAATATCATTCAAAAGCCTTTACATTAAAATATTTTCATTCGAAGTCTTTTTACTGATGTCTTACACTTAAATGTTTTCTTTCCATTTCAAATCCTTTACATTTCAGAAACTTTTGTATATTTCATGCCTTTATCTTCATGCTTTTATCATTCGAATACCTTTTTCATTCAAAGTCATTTTACTGATTTCTTGCATTTAAACGCTTTCTTCATATTTCGAATCTTTTACATTCCAGAAACGCTTTTACATTACATGTTTTTATGCTTCGAAGTCATTTACTTGTCTTTTCTGCAGTTTTACATGTCTTTACAATTGAACTTTATTCATGCAATTTAGTTTCGCACGCATTTACTTGATCATGTCATTAGATCTTTAATAGAGTAATCGAAGTAAGTTGAACACCTACACAACATTCTAAATACCAACCATGAATATCAGTTCTATAATGAGAATTATCCAAATGACCAATACATCATAGGATCAATCTAGTCGATCCTGCAAGTTACCAGAGAGATTAAATAACAGTCATTAAGATTATTTGATAGTTTTGAGGACTAGCGGTTGTTTACCAGAAATAACTGTAAACAAATTGGCACACCCGGTGGGACGCGTCATTGGTCATTACGAAATTTAGAACAAAGTAAACAAATTGTTGAGACATAACCATTGTAAAAGTACTCTCTGAGTGATAAGTTTGTTGTTTTATGAACCTTAGAAGTGGTAGAATAACCAATAGCAACCAACCCTTATCCAGAAGAAAATGTTTAAACAAGATGTCTAATCCAGACAATCAACAAGGGGAACAAAATATCCCACATACAACAGGCACTAATATGTCTGCTTCGATGGGAACATCTAATGCAATCCCTTCGAACGCACAGTCTGTTGCATCCTCTACCAGTAGCGTAGCCACTAATGGAACAAGTGGCATATCAACTAACAGTTCGATCCTAGGAAATACTGGAACCATTGGTTATCCTGGGGGATTCGCCCCACCACCAGGGACACAAACCCATTTCGCCACCCCACTAACTAGACCACTCGGTTTCGATGGTAACAGAACCAGAAATTCCTCTTATGGAATGCCAACATCTTTTATGGCAGGCTTACACAAATCCACATTGAATTCATCACCACAATTAGGGTCAGGGTCTGGGGCAAATCAGTTTATGACAAATAACCAAGGGTCAGTGGGTTATAGTGCAATGCCTATCTTAACCACTGAAAATCAGTTGGCCTTTAGGCAATTAATGGATGACAGTAACCATAATATGATAGGAGTGTTAGCACAAACTATGCAGGAAGTCTTTGCCCCAATAGTACAAAATGTAACTGTGACAAACAGAGAAAACGCGGATAACATGAGTCGAATAGCAGATTTTTTCGCTCCCCCAGAAAGGCGTAGGCAGAATCAGGCGGGAGTTCGAGCAAATGTACCTATTATAGAACAAGTTGCTAACGACCCACCCTATAGGAGTTGTCATGGTAAGTCGAAATCAAGATGCTGACGCAGTTGTTCACAGAATTCGAAACGATAACATCTTGGCAGAAAATAATTTAACCACCATGATAGAGAGAATCATGTCCCAGAATGGCCTCAACACAGGAATTAGAAGGCCAAATTATGCCTCTCCTATATTAGATTACATAATGCACACTGATTTACCAAGGGGATATAAAGTCCCTAAGTTTACAAAGTTTGCTGGGGATACCAACGAATCAACAGTCGAACACATAGCCAGGTATCTAACTGAAGCAGGAGATATAGCCAATAATGAAGACCTTAGGATCAAATATTTCCCAAGTTCCCTGACTAAGAACGCTTTCACATGGTTCACTACTTTGCCTCCTGGGTCCATTGATACTTGGGCTCTTTTGGAGAGATTATTCCATGAACAGTTCTATATGGGGCAATCAAAAATAAGTCTGAAGGAACTAGCCAGTGTCAAGAGGAAGTTTACTGAACCCATAGATGATTATCTGAATAGATTCAGGCTCTTGAAATCTAGATGTTTTACAGTAGTTCCTAAACATGAGTTAGTCGAAATGGCTGCTGGCGGCCTGGATTACTCTATTCGAAAGAAATTAGACACTCAATACTTGAGGGATATGGCTCAATTAGCCGATAGGGTTCGACAGGTCGAAAGGTTAAAAGCCGAAAAGGCCAGAGTTTTTAAAAATAACAAGAAGGAAAGGGTCTCCTATGTTGGAATTGAGGAAGCAGAAGATTATCCTGAATTCGAATTCGAAGAGGTCGAAATCGACCTCGCTGAATTAAAACAGGCACCACCTTACTCCTGCAAATTATTAGTTCCCACAAAAGGGAAAGAAATTGTTGAAAATGAGAAAAGTGACAAATTCCCAAAGAAGGTTTATACCTTCGATGTAACTAAGTGTGACGAGATCTTTGATTTACTTGTCAAAGATGGCCAACTCATTGTGCCATCAAATGTCAAAATACCTCCTTTAGATCAAAGGAAGAAAAGAGGATTTTGCAAGTATCATAGTTTCCTAGGCCACAAAACCTCACAGTGTTTTCTTTTCAGGGACCTAATTCAGAATGCAATTAAAGAT